GACTTCTATGCACCCTGGGACCCGAGATCCCAAGATGGCGGTCACAACTCACATCGGAATTAGCTATGAAAAATATGCTTCTCTCCCTAAGAGAGTCATTACACCAAGATATTGTCAACGTAATATCTCCTATTTCTGACACCATTGCTGACCATTCAAGACGCTTACAGCATATTGAAAACAAAATGTCTGACGTGTGCAAGGCCCATAACACAGTAGTGGATGCACATGCAGATACAGATTCTGAGATCTAACAATTATGGAATAAAATAGTGAACCTAGAAAACCGCTCTAGAAGAAAACAACATCAAAATCCGAGGCAGTCCAGAAACAATCACAAAAACAAGCCGTAACAGGAAGTGGACGTTCTGCCATGTTGGATACAATCCAATGCGGTTTCATTCATAAAAATTACACATGAAGAGTTCTTGATCCTATAGTGTCCCGGGGGGACACATATAAATGTGAGTGGAAGATTTTAGAGTTTTAATAAAAGTTGATATTGGTTTGATATACTTCACCATCTGGAGCATTTTTTCCATTTCTGTGGTACGTTTTGGAGTTTGGAGGTGCATGAGGAGTTGGAAATATTAAACACACCAGTGAACCCACCTAGGTTAAAGGGAAAGGCACGCTTTTGACCTGAGGGTTCGGGTCAACTTCCAAGAAGTGCATTTTGGAGTGTGGAGGTGCAGGAGGTGTTGGAGAGTGATACATCAGCATACCCGCCCCGGTTAAAGGGAAAGGCGCGGTTTGACCTGACGGTTCAGGTCATTGCACAAGGTGAGCGCATAAGTGTGTCGGAGGTGGATATAACACTGGGGGTCACAAGAAATCACTGGATGTATATGTACTGAGGAGATTGCACATTATCACTTGGAGCACTGAGTCTTAAAGGGACGGTTGATTAAGAAGTATTCATTTATTTGGGACATTGTTTATATATATAACGCACAGTGAATATGTTTCAGAAAACATATGGTTGATATGATCACTATTATGGGATGGAGTATGTTATTATAAGGTGATATGATTAAGCACTCATATGGTATTTAAATAATTGTCATGGAGCAAGATTTTATGTACATTTATTATTTGATTATTTAGTATTGCGCTGCATTTTTTGTATATATAAATCACAACAGGAGCACTCCATCCCTACCTACAACAACTAATGCAACACTTAATACCGTCCATCAATACAATAGAAGCCACAATCGACAGAGCACACCAAATTCCAAAACCAGCATTTCTACCTGTCTCAGTCCCAAGAGATGTCCTAGTAAGGATCCATTTTTACCATGTTAGCGAAAAGCTAATGGCGGTGGCAAGAAATACCTCAGCACTCCTGAACTCCCACACAGGGATCAAAAAAATACTCTTCAACAGGAAGAAATTGATTTTGGTCACAAAGGCACTTAGAAATCATAATATAGGGTACCAATGGGGCTTCCTGATCAAACTCCTTATAATGCATCAAAATAAAACTTACACCATAAGAAGCCTAGATGAAAGAATTAATCTTCTCAAAGAATGGAACATAATACCAGAAGATGTCCACCGCCGTAACCACCAGCATCTCCACCAAATGGAGGGTGATTGGTCATAACCTGCAATCCATCAAAAGTCAGTCCCCCGACCTCACCTACTTCAGAAGTACCAAACCACCTAAATTCTCTAAATTCTAACTGTGAACTACAAGACACTACAGGGAAATACCAGGTTTATGTTCACTACGAGCCAATGCCCCGAATGACAGTAGTCTTCCAGGCTACCAATGGACTCTTGCATTTTGAGCACACGTTATTTTCCTTCTTCCAGGCTACCAATGACTCTTGCATTTTGCACACGTTATTTTCTTATATAAGCTTCTGGTTTATTACCCTTTGTTTCAGCCAGTCTTCTTTATTCCACTACCAAACACCACATTTTTGGAATTCATATATATTCCTCCTATCCACAACTGACCCCAACTACCATCTCATTTTCTATCAGCAAAGGAAAAAAGGAAAAGAGGGACTGTCGCAGCGGGACTGAAAGGAAGAGATCACAGCAACTTCTATCCCTGTCTGAACTGAACTTGACTTTTACTGAATCAGAGCATATGTCTGGAAACTCAGAAGAGGATGCCCTGGGTCTGGAGTAAAAGGGGAGGAAGAGGAGATAAGAGATAGACCCCAAACCACACGAGGGGAGATATCCATATCTATCCATCCAGCCCTCATAATTCGGAAGGAACTGGGAGGCCATCTAGTGGAAGAAAGCAACATCATAGTCTACCCTAACAGCAATAGACTTTCTATACATCACAAATTGGGACGTTTATATCTCATCCTAAATAAGGATTAGGAGTATATAGTCCTTATCATCGTTTCAGGTTGCACAAGTGAAGTGATTACTACACATTATTTGCACATTTTTTATTATTATTTATTTTCCCAGATTTAATTGAGTATTGCACTTTATATATATATATATATTTTTATTACTGCTGTGGGCAATATTTGTATATTTTGCACATACACAATTTTTTCACATATTTATCTTTGAACAAAGAGGTTCTTCTTTGATTCATTTAATTTGTGGCACATTATATTATATTTTTTCATACCATTAAACACATTTAGTTATTTATAATTAAATTAATTACAGCACTGGGCATGTTTTAATTTAAGTTATAATATATCATCATGAGATAATATTTATTTTTTTATTTATTTAGATTTATTCATTTAATTCATTATATTTTATAACACATTATATATCACCTAACAACATTCTGAGGAGCGCGACACATATAATATTTTATTTGTTAACCTAATCAATAATGCTTAAAATGACATCACTAAACATTAGAGGACTCAACTCTCCCTTCAAGAGATCCTTACTAAACAGAGAACTACAGGCACTTTGCGCAGACATCATCTTTATCCAACAAACCCATTTTGACGCAACTAAAAAAACACCTCTCTTCAAACTGAAAAACTTCTCAACGAGATACATGGCTTCCCACCAAAAAAAAAAAAAAACTAACGGAGTCCTAACTGCAATCAAAGACACAATATCTTTCCAACTTACAGCTGAATATGCTGACCCATTGGATTGCTTTCTAATCCTTGTATGCCTTATCAACAATGATCCATTCACACTTGTGAATATCTACGTCCCCAACGTCAAACTTATATTTCTCAACCAACTTATGAACAAACTCAGGCCGGTGAAGAAAGGCCATCTAATTATAGGCGGTGAGTTTAATATAGTGGGGAACCCCCAAATGGACTCATCATCAAACAAAAAACCTCCACATCATAACGCAAACCAATTTCTGCATTGAAATGACTTATACAATATCTGTCACCACGGATCCGAAGAGACTACTCATATTACTCACCCTCTCAACTATCCTACTCTAGAATAGACTATTTTATATCAGACAAATGGACATTACAACACATATATAATCTTCTTCTCAATAGGTTCAATAATGTGGTCAGACCACATTTCAATCACATTAACCACACCAAACAGGCTACCCAACCCTAAACTGTGGAGACTAAGAAACAAGCTGGGGTTAACCACAGGTAGTCACTCACAGGAACAGGCACAGGAATACAGGAGGGGGAGCTGCAGATCAGACAGCAATTCACTAGTGCAGCTGCTGCACCTTTATAGGCCAGTGGGTGCCAGAGTTAGCCAATGCACATTTCCTTGCGTGTATGCCCGCGCATGTGCATATGTGTGGGCATATGCGCACGGCCACGCACAACAGTACGAGCACCTGCAGGCCCGCGCCTGCACATTCGCGTGCGGCTACGAGCCTCAGCTATGCCATGGCCAACATGTCCCTGACACTCAGGGAATATCTCAACTCCCCTTAGAAGCCTAAACACCTTCATGCCACATATAAATCTTTCCAAATGGGAATCTGCAGGTATCATGGCCCTATCGGACTTATACATAAATCAAGAACTAGCACCATTTCAATACCTTCAAAACAAATTTTCACTTTCACAACAGGAGATCTTTACCTATCACAGAATTGCTCATTGCCTTAAGAACACTGAAATTCCTCACTCCACTCCAATTCCCATTCAAGCACTCCAATTCCTGCCAAAAAATAAATATCCAGGTAAAGGCATATAAATACAAAATGCAGTGCTCTAAAAAATTACAACCTCATATAACATTAAAAACTCTCTAATAAAGACTCATTTGGCTCAATAAAATGCGCCTAGGTAAACGCACATATAACAATCTTAAATGCTTGCGTGTTAAGTGCACAGTCCAAATAACGATGAAAATAAATGCGCTGCGGAGCGCAACAGTGAAAGTATCAATTGCGTCTGAGTGTGACGCAAATGGTGCGTAGGTGACAGCAAATGTCCAATATACAGGTAGGTGAAAATCTGTGCTTTCAGTGAATGTGGGAATGAGAATACATTGCACTAACCAGAAAAAAAAAATAAATAAAGAATAAAAAGCGCCTTTGAGTAACATAGACCACTCCTGGTCATCAACATCCTGGGGTAACCACGGGGATCATCTGGCATAAAAATCGTCTGCACATCAGCTGATCATCCACTGCTACTCTCCGAATTCCAGGAAATCTCCACTTCAAGTGTGTATGTACCCAATATAAAGCACTTAAGGAATCCACCTTAATAGCTCAAAATAAATGAGCCAGAAAGAGAAGTGCTATAAAGTGCAGTAAGTTTATTAATTCAATGGTAAATATGTATTCTGACAGCAAGCCCTGACATCTGGTATACAGGAATGCAGCTCAGGTATACAGGAATGTAGAAACAGTATCAAAAATGGCTGCCGGACTCCCTCGTGGCTCGTGCAGCGTGTCGTCACTGGCTTGGCTCCTCCCTAATGCATTTCGTGCACTTGCACGTTTTCAAAGGGACCATGCTTAAGCCAGGGACTTGTATTTATATGTATCCATGCGCATGCGCAGAACTGCTGCATGACGCCATATTGGTTCCCGCACATGCGCGGTACACATTTTCTAACCGTTTTCAAACCGTGCAGCAATCGGTGGTGCACTGTGTCCCTCAGACACAACGGATCACCGATCAATGGAAAGAACTGAAGATGTCGGCTCAGTCATGTGATCAGCTGTGTCCAATCACAGCTGATCGCATGTAAATAGGGAAATGCCGGTTATCGGCATTTCTCTCCTCATGAGCTTTCACTCTGACAGCTCGAAAGGAGAAGAGAGCTGGTAATCAGCATCCCTCAGAGGGGACATGTACACTGATCATCAGGGCACTGATGATCAGTGTGCCCTGATGATCAGTGTAGCCTCAGCAGTGCCACACCTGTCAGTGCCCATCAGTGCCACATCAATGCCACATCAGTGCCTACCAGTGCACATCAATGCCACATATCAGTGCCCATCTGAGCTGCCTTTCAGTGTCACCTATCAGTGCCAGTCAGTGCCACCTATCAATGCCAGTCAGTGCCGCCTATCAGTGCTGCCAATCAGTGCCACCTATCAGTGTCACCTATCAGTGCTGCTTTTCAGTGCACATCAGTGATGCCTGTCAATGCCCATCAGTGCCACCTGCCAGTGCCTCCTCATCAGTGCCCATCAGTGCAGCCTATCAGTGCCCATCACTGCAGCCTCATTAGCGCACATCAGTGAAGGAGAAAAATCCATTATTTACAAAATTTTATAACAAAAAAACTAAGAAAAAACTTTTTTTTTTCAAAAATTTCAGTTGTTTTCGGTTTGTTAAGCAAAAAAAAAAAAAAAAAAAACCAGAGGTGATTAAATACCACCAAAAGAAAGCTCTATCTGTCTCAAAAAAATGATAAACATTTCATATGGGCACAGTGTTGCATGACCGCACAATTGTCATTCAAATTGTGACAGCGCTGAAAGCTGAAAATTGGCCTGGGCAGGAAGGGGGTATAAGTGCCTTGTAGGCAAGTGGTTAACTAAAGTAATATTTGATTTAAACTCCCAATATGATATGGAGAGAAGATTCTCCCTCCTACAACTCTCCAACACCAAATTCCATAAAGCATGGTCTCTATGGTCACTTAATCCTAACTGTACAATCTAAACTTGATAGTTCTTACCATTTAGAGTAAATGCATTTCTTTCTAATGACTGGCTTAGTTACAATGTTACATTGTTTTTGTTCTTTCCCCCCCCTTTGTATCTCCCTACTCTTCCCATCACCTCCCTCCCACCCTACTTTCTCCTACCCTAACTCCCACCCCCCCCCCTCCTGTTCCTACAATACTGACATTTACGGCATATGATCCCCCCTTTTGTACCTACTTAGGGGATCACCACAATACCTGTACTCTAAATGTTGCACTGCCTCTGAATTTACCCTACATGTATAAGAGGGAAACAGAAACAAATTTGTTATTCTTGTGTATTGTTTACAGTAAAAATTCAATAAAAATAAGTTGAAATAAAAAAAGAAAACAAAAATATGTAAAATAATACTCCCAGGATGCAGTATTCAAAAGCAATAAGACGCTAACAATATCTGTTAGATTCAGATTAGGAAAAGAAGGCTGTTTTACTTTAAATAAAAAGGAGTCAGTAGCAGAATGCGGCATTTGGATGGAAGTGATCTGTTTCAAAAAAAGGGGGGAAGTAAAGAAACTCTCTTTTAATAAAAGAAAAGGAAAGAAAAAGAGAGAGAGGAATGAAGTAAAGAAATTACAAGAAGAGGTAGGAAAAGAAGGTAAGTAGAAGAGATATGGTGGGAAAAGGGGGAGTGGACTGGGGTTGTAAGGAAAAAGGGTGGCACACCAGGTCTTTAAGCAATGTCCCCTCCCCCCTCGAGGCCTGTCACCTACAGAGCACTGTAATTTACTATTGGTAAAGAAGGGTGGGTGTATTGTAGCTATGGGGGACCACACCAAAACATTTTTTTGTGATTGTCCGAAAGAATGCTAGTGAGCTTCTTATTTATAAAACACATGCCTATATGCTGATGAACATCGAGTACATTTTTAAATTCCAAGCTCTTGCTATAGTTTGTTTTGTAGCTAGGACATAAGTAGGTATTTTAAACTGAGTCTTGGTGCGGGTCTGGAGGATTTGAGATTAAGGAGCCCAAACCAGGTAAGTGAAGGGTGGAGGTGTGCCAATTGAGACAGGACCATATACTACCTAGTGACAGCTTTAAATGCAGATTCAGTTGTGGTTATGTTTATAAAACTTGTGAACATGGACCAGATTTTTTACCAGTACACCTCAGTTTTGGTGCACTGAAGGTTCCTCTTCCACTTGGGAATGAAGCCATGATTTATGTGTTTATTTAAACAACTGAGCTGAAAGCAAATGATATAAATCAACTTTGAAGAGGGAGGCATATGATAGCAAATACATTCAAGTAAAGAACGTTGGTGGGAAGGTCTCTGCCAGCAAGCTTCAATGTAAGCCAATGTTTGATTTGCATTTGGGAAAAAAATATGAAGAAGGGGCTTGAATTTTTTCCCTAATTTCACCCGGCTATGTAAAAAGTGATTGTTGATAAATAAGTATATATGATGGATGTATATATGATGGAATGTACACTAATGCCACCAATGAAAATTCCAGGTGATTCTGGGCCTAGAGGGAATGCCCGGTTGCCCTGGTGAGGTAACGGGTGGATGTGATGAGAGTAGTTTCCTAAAGTATTTGATAGTATCCCAGATGTTCAAGTTATGCCACATTAGGGGATCCTTAGTTGGGGGCCTAGACTTAGGTGGGAGCCAAGGGAGTGATTGAAGGACACCAGGGAGTAGCAAAATGCTTCCAAGTCTACCCACTTAGGGGCTTCTCCTAAAATGAATAGAAATACCAGTGGAGTAATGTGTGTGATCATAACATATTTAGTGAAATTGGGAATATAGTAGAATACTTCAGGAATAGAATTAATTACAGTTGAGGACATACGTAACTTCCAAGGACAAAATTGTAGCCTCCATGTAATCTTCAAAGGCAATGTCCTCCAGTGATACCAGACATCTCCCCTCAGTAAGCTTACTGAAGAACCAGGGTCACTCTCTCTCTTACTTCAGGCTCTCAGGTTGCCTGCCTGAGGCCACATAGCAGCAAGAGCCTGGGGAGTCAGTTTGCCTTCCCCCCAGGCTGGTGCAATCCACTTCAGGAAAGACCCAGGGCTCAGTTTGCCCAAAGAATGCATACCCTCTCCCAGCATTCCTCAGGGCTGCAATCCCTGGGATTGGTTGGAGGTTGGAGTGGCATTAATATTCACACTGTTTTGAATGAGTTCCACCTATACATCCAAAACTTTCCTAGGTTACTTGGATACAGAGGAGGTCAGGGGCAGAACTAGCAGCACTTGAACACACTGAGCAAGCACTACTAACAATTACAACTCTCTGTTAAGCAGAAAGCCTAATTAGATTTTTTCCAACAGTTCTCCTGTTAATCAGAGGAAACAACAATAATCTACAGTACTTATCTTAGCACCTACCTAGGAAGGTGCTACATTTATATGAACACATTATATTCTCTATCCATCTATGGGATTGTGGTTCTGTTTGTGTTTTAAAAATGTAAAATGTCTGTATACGTACAGTATAATATGATTCTATGTATACTTTTATATAATAAAGATTTAGTATTGTGGCAACATATTTGTAACATGTGTATGGGAGATTTTATTTCTTTGCAACATGCAGTAAAAGAGCTTTAAAACAAGCCATCACTGACCTCTGGCTGCAGGCACTACAGTGAGAAAGCAGGGAAAACTGGGCTGCAGAGAGAAAAACTTGAATGACGCCAATGCTTTTAAACAGAACTTTGAGAATAAATTACTCTACAGTACCTGCAGCTATAGAGGTCAGAAAGAAAGGCTTGTGTTAAATATTTACTGTTTATTAAAGCTCAACAAAAAAATCAATGTAGAGCAATCTGTTGTTTAAACCATGAGTGAACATGGTGTTAAACCCAGAAGTGCCACTCTGAAATTATCAACATCCTAAATTATCACTTCATCTTTGAGTGTATGTTTGCCAAGGCCCACCTAGCTTTATATACATTTCTTAAGACATGGGACCCTTTGATTAAAGATCCTACAAGCTCCACCTTGTTTTGAATTACTAGTCTTTGGCTGTATTTTGCCCCCATCTTTGACAGTTTTGATGGTAGTATTAGTGGCTTCTTTTTTCTTTTTTTATGGTATTAGAAGCATATCCAGGCCCAGTAAGATGCCTAAGTGCCTTCAGCTTACATCACAACCTTTGTACTATATGGCTTCCTATTATTGTTAAACTTATTGAATACCACCATGTTTCTATTTGTCTTATATCTTTTTTATATACTTGCCTGCAGTGTGTTGTTATTCAGCTTTACCTATGTCAGATTTACACATTACTGCTGCTCTTGGACTGGTTATATTTGCTATGGCAAGCTTCTATATTTATGTTCATTTCTTAAGACATGGAACCCTTGGATTAAAGATCCCAGAAGCTCAACCTTGTTATGATTAATAATCTTTGGCTATATTTTTTCCCCCATCTTTGACAGCTTCGATGGTAGTATTAGTGGCTTCTTTTTTCTTTTTTTATGGTATTAGAAGCATATCCAGGCCCAGTGAGATGCCTAAGTGCCTTCAGCTTACATCACACCCTTTGTACTATATGGCTTCCTATTATTGTTAAACTTATTGAATACCGCCATGTCTCTATTTGTCTTATATCTTCTTTATACAGTATGCTTGCCTGCTGTGTGTTGTCATTCAGCTTTACCCATGCCAGCTTTACACATTACTGCTGCTCATGGACTGGTTATATTTGCTATGCCAAGCTTCTAAATTTATGTTCAAACTTGTTACTGTTTTCCATTGTATTTTTTTTTCTGGAAAACCAAATATTATTATTATTATACAGGATTTATATAGTGCCAACAGTTTACGCAGCACTTTATTTTCTGGAAAACCAAATACAATTTTATAGTACAAAAAAAATATGGAGGTGTCAGTTGTTTGCTACAGGGAATACCAGAACACAGAAAACCAATAAAGTAGCGATTCTTTACATGAACAAAAATCAGTTTTGCCTCATTGAAGCTTCTGCTTGGATCTGGCATATTTGCAGGTACAAAAATGCCTAAAACTGTTGTTTCTGCCTGTCCACCAGATAATCAATTCACTCAAATCTCCTTCCAACTCACCTCTGGCAGGGTGGAGTAGAAGTACAGAGAGAAAGTGAAAGTAAAACTGAGAACTGTCTGGTGCAACCTTTGCAGATTAATTACTGGTGTCTGCTGCTAGAGAGGTCACTGAGGCTTGTTGTAAAGTTTGTTTACTGGATGTTAAGATCATGTAAGATCATAGCATGGCACTTTAAAGCAAAAGGCTTGTTGTCTTTAAAGTATGGTTTTGTTCAGAACGTTAGGCTTTAAGAATTGGATCAAACATTCTGTCTGGTATCTGTGTAAAGATTATATGCATATTCAATGTTTTGCATCTGCATTAAGGATGGGCTCCCAGTT